TAATACAATATTACGTTATATATATATATATATTATTTTTATATAATAATTAATAATAAAAAAAGTGAGAAATAAAAAAACATTGTTCGTTGATTATTTTAGGGCCGCCCAGATCGTGCCGCCAGAAGTAGTCCGTCCGTCGCCGAATTCAGCGAGGAACGAAGAGAACGAAGACAAAATTATCTATCGAGCAGGCCTCCCTCTCCCTCTTATCGAATAGTGGGGAAAGGAACGACGAGTAGTAGTGCGAAAAGAGAAAAGAAAATCAAAAATACAACAACAACAGAACGAGGAAGAATATATTTAACCTGAATTTTCTCTCGAGTCTCTTGAATTAATCAAACGAAAAGAAGTACCAGCAAACTTTTCAATTCAACATGCCGAAACCAAAGCCACAGGAGGGAGAAGATCCCGATCCAACTCCCTATCTCTTTGTTTCTCTCGAACAAAAGAGAATCGATCAAACCAAACCTTACGATGCTAAAAAGGCTTGCTGGGTACCAGACGATAAAGAAGGTTATCTTCTTGGTGAAATCAAAGCTACCAAGGGGGATATTGTTTCCGTTTCATTACCAGGCGGCGAGGTTTGTATATCAATTTTTTTATTTTTATACATTCAATATTATTTTATTTTATTTTATTTATTTATTTATAACCACATATCTCTCTATCTCTCTATTTGTTCTTTTGGAAATTTGGTATTTTATATAAATGTTTTCCAAATTAGATACTTCATTTTGCTATTATTTATCTAGATCAGGGGTTCTCAAACTTTAAACAAATTTTTTTGTTTATTATATAAATAAGAATCTAAAAAAAATATATATATATGTAGTATTATAACAGTATTATTTTGATTAAAAATTAATACAACTAGAGCGGAGTGTTTATAATTAAAGGATTGATATTATTATTCGATTATATTCGTAAATGAAACTCATAGTTACAATATTAAAATATTTTCTGTAGTAATGTACCATTAGTGTGGTACATCATGTATTACAGTTTGAGAAACAATGTTCTAGATTATTTCAATATATAATTATCATTACGTAAAATAGATTGCTGTATTAAACCTTGTACAAAAGTTTAAACATTCGTTTCGTTGCACATTGAAATGAAATTTATATAAACGAAAATAAATAATCATAATATTTTACATCGAATACAAACATGTTTTAATGAATTAATAATAAATTAAATTACACACATATAAATATATTATTAATTAATAATATATATATAAAAAAAAAAGAAAAAGAACTAAAAAAACTTTACAAATAAGACACTTTCGTCAATTACAATTTACAGTTTAGTATTGGTATTTGAATTTGAATTTGAAATTGTTGAAAAACAAACAAACAAACAAACGCAACAAATATAAAAAAAGAAAATTGAATTTATTCTTATACGATACAAATAGAAGAGATAAAGAATAAATAAATAAATAAATATATATATACGTGTATATATAAATAATACTTTGAAATATACACGAAGATAGTAGGATAGGAGGAGCTTGCGTATTATACTTACTTTGAAAAGATGTGAAAGGAAGGCAAGCAAGCAAGCAAGCAAGCATGCCGGGGCTTTGCCGTATCAAGCTACTCCGTCTCTATTTTTGGAAAGAGAGAACAGAAATCGCTCGAAGCTTTTACGACCTTCTATCGTTCGAACGGGCCAACATATCCGGCACAATCTTTTTCTCTTTCTCTACGTACTTCATCTTCTTCTTCTTCTTCTTCTTTTTATATCGAACGAAAATAAATGAAAAACGAGAAAACGAATTGGAAGGAAAGAAAAAGAAACGAAAAAAATAGAAGGAGATTTTAACCGAATTCGTGTAACATAACCTCAAAATAAAATCAAACATGGCCACGTAATTTGATCTCGCAATCGGGCCGATTAAAAATAATAAAAAGAATTAAAATAAATATATATATATATATATAAACAAAGTAACTAAGAATAGACGAATAAATATTATTATTTGTTTGATTATCAATATTCTTGTTCAAAAAAATCTATTAATATATAAGTTTCAAAGGGAATTATTAAACTAGTTCAAAATAAATTGTTCATCAGATTTATTAACCGTCTATAATTCCCTTTGAAACTTATATATTAATTATTATTTGTTCTTTTTTATTATTATTATTAACAAAATTACAACAATTCGAATTATTATATTGATTATTATTAATAAATACATACGTATAATTGTAGAATGAATATATAAAATGATAGAAAATGATGAGTCGTAGAAACAAGATTGTAGGGAGAGGTGGGAGGGTGGGGATAAAAGATATAGAATCAAGTGAAACGGAAGAAGAAGAAGAAGAAGAAGAAG